TGCTGCGAACATTTATGAAAGCTCTAGGCCATTCTTATCGAAAACTCTAGACATCGAAACTTCTATCAAAACTTCTGTTATTCCTCTCTGTTTTTCTTTAACCTCTCATTCATGTTTAGCAGTAATCGCCGCACTATTAATTCTGCTCTGGTAGTCTGCTACTTCCCAGCTTTTTGTTTTTTGCTCCAGTGCTATTACCTGTTCAATTTGCCTTGCTTACACCCTTTTTTCATTTCATTTCATCTGTCATACCCCACCTGCCGCCCATTTCACATCATATGTGTAGTTCAGCTGCTAATGGATATCAATCGAAGAACATTTCACTTCACTTCAAAACAAGTCACACACTCATCACATGACAGGCGGTGGGGGACCTCCAGGAAATCATGTCATTTACCTTTACATGAGCGACCGTTACGCGGGCACTTCTTTAATGTGCGTACCTATGAATGCAAACATCTATGTATGTATGCATATTCGTCCATGCATTCGTATGCACACTAGGGTGGTGCAAAAAAAGTAAAGCCGAAATTTTAATGCTCTCATTCCTACTTGTTTTTATTTTGAAATCAAAAACTGTTTAGAGGTCGCTCAACGCACTCAGAGTTTTCCATGTTTTTTATATGGGGGGAAAACACTTTTTCATAGAAATGGTATAGAATTCTTGAAAATAAATATATTTCAAGAGACTTTCAATAATAATACCCAATGGTCGATCTAAAAAATTTTTTATTGACTTAGAAATAAAAAAAAACAAGCGTACATTTTTTCGATATAGAAAAATCCTGGGAATTGAAGCATTAATTTTTGGACAACCCTAATGCACATACCTATGCTCATAACCACCTGAATACATATATTGTTTAAGTGCATCCACAATACAACTGTCATGGGAATAATTTTCTCTCGCTGATTTGACACCTTCAACTTTGCTCTCATTATTCATTAGCTTCTGCGCTGCCCTGCAAGTGGAGCAGGGGATTCAAGCTGCAAACAAAGGAAACATGTGCACGTACGCGCAAGTGCGGTTTGTTTTGAAAGCAAGTTTTTAATACATATTGGTGGGCATTGTACTCTTATCCAATTTTTTTTTCTTTCAATTTCGGATCTTTAATTTTGTATTCCCTCCCTATATTTACATATCTGTGTACTGCTTACATGCGACCCTGTGCATTTCAGTGTCTTTTAAAATCCACTTCTATAAAAAGTATTTTTCATCCTACTTTCCTTTTCTTCTTTTCCTTTTAATCAACAACAACAATCATTTAGAAGTGGCTGTTTTTTTAGTTTATTTTATTTGTTGTTGAACCTCTCTCTTAAGCACAACTGACCGACTGATCATTCTTCACATTGCTTATAAGATTTGCTTTTTATCATACCTGTGCTTTTTTTTGCGTTATATATACATATAGCCAGCAATTGGTTTTTATTTGTTAATTTTTATTTAGTTATAGTCTGTGGAATAGTGAAGTTTCGCTAAATAATGAGCGTTCTTGTTTTGCATAGCAGCAGCGGCCGTAGCGACTTTCGTTTGGTAAATATTTATTAAATATTTTGTGTCATATTTTCCATTTAGCTTAGAGGTTTTGTATTTAAAAGCATAAATCTGCATTTCTGCTGACAGCCGCTATATATTTTTTATAATTTAGCCGCAATTTTCGTTTGTTTTTGGTTATTTTATTGTTATAATTTTTCGTTGCGAACTGAAAGGTGTTGTTTTCCTCCAATTTACAGCAAACATATTTGCATCGGAATTTTCAAGCATTTTTTTAGACTTTGTTGTTGTTTGCTAGCATTTTTTGTTTTTATAAATGCATTATTTCAACTAATAAATCATTTAATTTGCACTTGAGAGCTGGGTGATTTAGTTAAGTTTGTTCGCTATTTGACATAATTTGTACGCCGGGGTAGTGAAATTTTGTATATCGAGGGCGTATATTCAACACCCTCTATCTGCAATTTTCACAAAAACTACTTTGTGATGTTAGAAGCCATCTG